TAAATGTGCTAAATATATTTAGTTTATTTGTATTGCATAATTCATACACTGCACTGTACAACTCAAGGTGATTCACAAAACACAGAGAAATTTAAAAAATCATAATTAGCAGATATAGTCCCAGGATCCTACATTAATACATACATGTATTTTTTGTAGGGTGATAGAGGACGTGTATTTTTCGTAGGGTGATAGAGGACGTGCAATATGCTCAATAAAGGTAGTGAAAGTTTTTTTTAGCTTAAGAGAGTTTTCTCCTTTAAAGTGTGAACCCAAACAACACTAATATTAGTTCCGGGCATGAGTTCTGTCTTGTCCAGAGCAGAGATAATCCACAGAGCACAGTTAATCCCACGTGGCTCAGGTTTGGACCAAAACCAAGTCCAGGTTTGAACAGTGTCGGACTCTCTGAACCCAGTGTGTGTGTTTGTGGCACGTCTCTTTGTGACCGTGCGATTCTGCACGTCCCTCCATCTCCCCAGACGCTTCTCAAGTTTCAGTACTGAGGCCTGATGACGTGCATTTTTGCATCTGTTTATTTTTTTTATAGCACAGTCCATACACAGCAACTCAAAGTGCTGAACTGAACATGACAGAAAAAGATCACACAACATTCAGATTCAGATTCCTTTTATTTGCCATTTGCAGTAAAATCACATTGGAATACATTAGTCCCCAGTGTGTACAAGACAAGTACAGACACAAAACAACATTAAAAGAACAGAAATAAAGCAAATAAAACAGTAAACAATTGTCACTGTGAAATCGATCGACTAAAACAGTTTCTATACAAGTGCAAGATCATTAAAGTGCTCTATTCAAACTGATAACAGCTTGTGGAAAAAAACTGTTAGCATAACGAGATGTCCTGCATCTCAGAGAACGATATCTTCTGCCAGAGGGAAGAAGCTGGAACACGGCTTTTCCAGGGTGGCCACACGAGTAATGATAAAATCCTTCAGTTGTTGCAGAAACAGAAACAGTTTTTAACCTGGATTTGAACATTGTCAGAGAAGAAGCCTGTCTCACATGTTCAGGAAGTCTGTTCCATATTTTAGCAGCAATGAATCTGAAACATTGCCTCCCGATGTTTAGTCCTGACTCTGGGACCAGCAGGAAGCCATGTGCTCCTCAGTGGGTTCAAATGGCACTAACATGTCACAGCAAGAAGGCCCTGAGTTCGAATCCCAGTTGGAATAGTGTCTTTCTGAGTGGAGTTTGCATGTTCTCCCGTGCCTGTGCAGGTTTCCTTCGGATGCTCCGGTTTCCCCTACCACTTAAAACAGGCACTCTGAGTAAAATCCTCCAGCTCAGGTCCTGACCAAGAGCATCAACATCTGGATGGGTCAAAATCAGAGGATGAATTGCCCTACGGCGATAAATACAGTTTTACCTTTCTTTACCTTTACACAAACATATCACTGATGTTCGACAAGGCCATGGAGAGACTTGTATCAAGCAGAGCTGTTTTGAAATCTATTTTCTGAGCCACAGACACAGACACATAGACACACACACACACACACACACACACACACACACACACACACACACACACACAGACACACACACACACACACAGAGACACATACACAGACACACACACACACACAGTTGTGGAATGCCTTGTGTTGACTCAGAGTTCCCCGGTCCTGGAGCCCCATCCCCGTGAGTCTGCCCTCTGTGGGAGGAGCCTCAGAGGCCTGAACCTTCACCCACTTCTCACACACAAAAAACACACAAATACACACACACACACAGCGGTGCATTCCTCACACACAGACAACTGCTCATCACTGTCTGACGGAGGTGACGCTGTTCTTAATCTGACAGATTGTGTAAAAGTTCATGATTATTAAACAACAGTTTTGTGGTTTCAGTTTCTCTGTTCACCTGTCGACAGGAGGTCTCACTCTCACAAAGCAGCAACAAGTATTTTTATGTATTAAAAGAGACATAACCTACAGACAGCTAACACACAGCTGTTCTCAAAACAACTCACACATGCTTCAGATATATGAATATTCTCATATACATGCACCGCCTTTGCTCTCCCCTCAGTCCTCTAACTGCCACACCGAGCCCGAATAAACAATGTATTTCCCTAAATGATAACAGTCTCAGAGGAAATGCAATAATAACAAACACATAGGAGCCATTGGTCCATAGGGAGCGGGATGAGGACTGGCCTCCTCCTGGTACTCTTTTTGTTCAATAGTTTTTACCTTAAATCTCTGATAAATGACACTGAGTGGAGACGGATAATACTGTTGCTTTGGAGAAATTGCTTTTGCTGTAAACACAGACTGAAGCAAAATCTCTGCTGTTGTAACGCTGCTTTTGTCTTGCATCACTACACACACACACACGCACGCACGCACGTACACACATAGACACACACACACGTACACACACACAGCCCCTCCCAGTCTCCTCCTCTATATAAGCCCCAGCCCTCTGCTTTCTCCTCACTCTGAGTTTCAGAAACACAAAGATAACCATGACGGCAGTGGGACTGGCTCTGGCCCTGCTCCTCACGTCCTCCTTCTCCTCATCCTCCTCCTGGGCTTACCCCAGCGGGTCGCGGGACAGGCAGATCTCCTGGGACGACGTGAATATTGTTGCCCATGGTCTGCTGCAGCTGGGCCAGGCGCTGAAGGAGCATGTGGACCGGAGCAAGACCCAGGTGAAGGCTCTGAACCTGGGGCTGGAGACTGTGAACCAGACCCTAGGGAGGCTGCAGCAGGACGGGGAGAGGAGGAACACTGAGATGGGGGAGAGGGTGGAAAGGCTGGAGAGGCTGGAGCAGAAGGTGGATGAGGTGGTCAGACAGCAGGCCATGGAGAGCAACTCCAGCGACGGGACTGAGGCCAAGAGTGTCCAGGTGAGAGCTCTGAGTGTGTGTGAGGCTTCTGTGGACTCTGCTCTCCTGGGATATGTTTTTGTTTTCTCTGAAGTGACAAACTCTGGATATTTATACTTTATCTTGCAATACATCAACATTTTTACATAGGAATGACTGCTACTGGTGCCACCACTGATGCATCAAGCATTTCTGAAATATTACTTGTAAAGAAACGGTACAAGTAGCAGTGGTCGAAGCTGTACTAGTAGCAGTAAAATGGTTTTCCTAAGTCCTTCGATAGCTACTGCTGTGATTTGAAACTTCAAACTTTACTTGAGAATACAATAAAGCTATTAAAAACTGGTGTAAGTAATAGTACTGTTTATTCAGTGTGTAAATAATTTTGTTGTCATGGTTATAGAGGATGATGGCGGCGCAGAACCGGCGCATCGACAGTCTGATGGAGAAGATCCAACAACAACAGGACAAACTGGAGAAACAGAGTCTTCACCTGCAGACGCTGCAGAGCAAGGTCAGACCCACACACTGGATTATGTACGGGCTCAAAGATCTTCTTCTTCTCTCCCTCCTCTCTCCTCTGCTCTCCTCTCTCTCCTTCCGTCTCTCTTCTCTCTCTCATTCCATCTCTCCTCTCTCTCCTTTGTTCTCTCCTCTCTCTCCTCCAGTCCTCTTCTCCCTCCTCTCTCTTCTTTCCTCTCTCCTCTGTCTTCTCTCTCTCCTCTCTCTCCTGTTTTTTATCCCTCCTCTCTCCTTCCATCTCTCTTCTATCTCCTTTCTCTCCTTCCACTTCTCCTCTCTCTCCTCTTCTCCTCTCATCCCTCCTCTCTCTCCTTCCTTCTCTCCTCTCTCTCTCCCCTCTCCTCTCCCTCCTCTCTCTCTTCTCTCTCTCCTTTGTTCTCTCCTCTCTCTCCTCCAGTCCTCTTCTCCCTCCTCTCTCTTCTTTCCTCTCTCCTCTGTTTTTCTCCCTCCTCTCTCCTTTCCTCTCTCCTTCCACCTCTCCTCTCTCTCCTCTTCTCCTCTCAACCCTCCTCTCTCTCCTCTCCTCTTTCTCCTCTCTCCTTCTTTCTCTCCTCTCTCTCTCCCCTCTCCTCTCCCTCCTCTCTCTCTCTCTTCTCCTCTCCTCTAAATTGTGGATTGTGTGACATCACTCAACCACAGCTAAAACATATGATACATGTAGCTAGCTCTAATTCTTCGCACACAAACTTATTGAGACTTTTCTCTGTTTCAGCTCGGACAGAAGAGAACAAAGTCTTTCCGGCGCAGACATGAAGTGGTCCTGCAGAAAGACCAGAATATGCAGAAAGGTGAGGCCCGTAAGTTTTCCAGGAACAACAACAGAGATATGGTCTATATTCAGCTGTTTGTTTCTTCTGAACCAGACAAATGTGAGATAGCGATGTTTTTACCTTGACTTGATTCTGAGAGAGACGGAAGTACGCAGTCGAAACATGTCAAGGTAAAAACAAGACTATCTGACATCTGTCTGCAGTAGAGGAAGAAAATATCTGTGTTTATGGTTTGGACATGGACTTGTTATTGGTCGATCGAGAGACCAGAGAGAGACCAGAGAGAGAGACCAAAGAGAGATCAGAGAGAGATCAGAGAGAGACCAAAGAGAGATCAGAGAGAGACCAAGGAGAGACCAGAGAGAGACCAAGGAGAGACCAGAGAGAGACCAAGGAGAGACCAGAGAGAGACCAAGGAGAGACCAGAGAGAGACCAAGGAGAGACCAGGGAGATTGTTATTGATGGATTAAAGACTGTTATCACGTTCACTGACTGTATCACTAACGGTTTTGTTCTGAGGCTGCTTATGTAAAACTAGTAATCATCAACCATTAACTCGACCTTTGTGCATTTGTGAACATTTCTCTACAGTACAGTCTGCAAAAACAAATAAAACCTCTATTGTGTTGTACAACAGCACGTCCCCCTTCGGTATCTCTCTGGTCTCTCTCTGGTCTCTCTCTGGTCTCTCTCTGGTCTCTCTCTGGTCTCTCTCTGGTCTCTCTCTCTCTCTCTCTCTCTCTCTCTCTTTCTCTGTCTCTCTCTGGTCTCCCTCTTGTCTCTCTCTGGTCTCTCTCTGGTCTCTCTCTGGTCTCTCTCTGGTCTCTCTCTCTGGTCTCTCTCTCTCTCTCTGGTCCCTCTCTGGTTTTCTTCTGGTCTCTTTCTGGTCTCTCTCTGGTCTCTCTCTGGTCTCTCTCTGGTCTCTCTCTCTCTCTCTCTGGTTTTCCTCTGGTCTCCCTCTTGTCTCCCTCTTGTCTCTCTCTGGTCCCTCTCTGGTCCCTCTCTGGTCTCTCTCTGGTCTCCCTCTTGTCTCTCTCTGGTCCCTCTCTGGTTTCTCTATAGTCTCTCACTGTAAACGTGGCCTACAACAACCTTTGCTCCCAGAGTTACAATCTCTGTGATGTTGGCAGAACGTTCAGAGATCAGAGATTAGAGATTAGAGATAGTTCTTGGTCACTGGGTTAAAAAACAACTCAGAGACGAAACACACCGTGATCAAAACAAAGTGATAAATTTTAAAAATATATTTGTGTTCTTCAGGTTTCGCCAAAGACTGTCACCAGCTGTATCTCCAAGGCCAGAGGACCAGCGGAGTCTACATGGTCCAGCCGCAGCACTCTCTCCCCTTCAGGGTGCTGTGTGAGATGACACCAGGTGAGAAGACTATGAGACACAACATGTTAAAGCTGGGGTACCTAAATCTCAAACCACAAAGACAGGACCAGGATGTACAGTATGCAGTAACATCCATGTCACTAGATTTTAGCTTATTACGTGACATGCATGTATTATTTGGCCTCTGTCACAAGTTTAAATCAGCTTTTTCAGAAATGAGAGACCAGAAAGAGACCAGAAAGAGACCAGGGAGAGACCAGGGAGAGACCAGGGAGAGACCAGGGAGAGACCAGGGAGAGACCAGGGAGAGACCAGGGAGAGACCAGGGAGAGACCAGGGAGAGACCAGGGAGAGACCAGGGAGAGACCAGGGAGAGACCAGGGAGAGACCAGGGAGAGACCAGGGAGAGACCAGGGAGAGACCAGGGAGAGACCAGGGAGAGACCAGGGAGAGACCAGGGAGAGACCAGGGAGAGACCAGGGAGAGACCAGGGAGAGACCAGGGAGAGACCAGGGAGAGACCAGGGAGAGACCAGGGAGAGACCAGGGAGAGACCAGGGAGAGACCAGGGAGAGACCAGGGAGAGAAACTAGAGAAAGACAATAGATAGCCCAGAGAGAGCCCAAGGAGTCAAATAGTGACTCACTGAGCTCTTTCTTACCACTTTGCAAAAGAATCGTTCTGATAAGAAAAAGAGTGATGGTGTAGTTTGATATTTTTTAACAATTAATCTTTCTTTGCAGACGGAGGTTGGACGGTCGTCCAGAAACGTTACGATGGTTCCCAGAGTTTCGACTTGTCGTGGAATGAGTACAAGAAAGGATTCGGAGCCTTCACTGGTGAGAAACTTTACAAAGTTATCAAGGGTCAAAGCGACTGGTCCTGGACTGGTCCTGGACTGGTCTTGCACTGGTCCCAGACTGGTCCCAGACTGGTCCTGGACTGGTCTTGCACTGATCTTAGACTGGTCTGGACTGGTCTTGCAGTGTGTTGAGGATAAACTAATTTTAAAGTACTATCAAACAGAATCCTTCAGTAACTTGTGCTGTGTTTAGGAGAGTTCTGGCTGGGTCTGGAGCACATGCACGCGCTTTCCTCACAAGGGCGTCACACGCTGCAGATGGAGCTCTCTGATTGGTCCGGGCAGAGTCATGTGATCAGCTCTGAGTTCCGGCTGGATGGAGAGGAAGGGCAGTTCTCTCTCCACCTCTCCCCACAGACAGGGGCCTCTGTGGAGGGCCTCTTCAGTGTGGCGGCCCCTGGTTCCTCATCTGGACTCCCATTCTCCACTGCCGACCAGGACAACGACCAGAGTACAGACAACTGTGCTCTCAAACTCTCAGGTGAGAAACTTTAACATGAGAAGAGAACAGAACTGTCTTGTATTAAAGAATGAGCAACACCATCTCATCACTCGAGAAAACCACTGTTGTGATTTATACAAAAATACATTTAATTCAATTAAATTAGAGCTGAGAGGACTCAGGCTGCAATGTCTGCCTGTACCACCAGAGGGCAGTGTTTGACAGATATAAACACATTAATCTCCACAGCTTTTGGAAAAGAAACTACTGCTCATGCACAATAGTTGATCTTCATAACTTTGACTTTTTCCGTCTCATATGTAGTTTATTTCTACCTTTTTATTTCTTAGAATTTTTTGTTTAGTTTTTAAGATTGAGTAGTTTTACCTTTACCTCCCAGAGCAGTCATTTTGACCATATTTTCTCTGGTTCTGAAAAGTGAATTAGAGTTACCATAGCAACACACTGTTTCCTGTGTATAAAGTCTTATAAACTTTAACCCTGACCTTTTCGTTGCTGCAGGAGGCTGGTGGTTCAGCGACTGCGGAGACTCAAACTTGAATGGGGAGTTTCCCAGCAGCCCCCGCGGCGCCCGGAGCATGTCCTGGAGTCCTGCAGGGGGGTGGTCAGCGCTGCGGTCGTCTGTGATGAGGATGGGTCCGGTCTCTCAGTGATCCTCTGACCTCTGACCCCTGATTCTGTCATATTGGCAGGTGGAACATGTTCCCTCTGTGAGGGAGACACTTACTTTGAACTAAAGACACTTTCTTTTTTTATATTTGTACATTTTTTACTTTGATTATTTTATATTTTGCAGAAATGTTGCTTAAACAATAAACAAATGTTTGTTAAAAATGCATCTTGTTTCATTGCTTTCATTTATTCACTCCAGAACAGAAAACATACATCCATGTATTTGTGGCGCCCCCTGCAGGTGAATGCCAGAGTCAGACCTTTGAAGCTAAGCAGGGCAGGGCCTGTTCAGTTTGTGACCCAGTCACAATACAGTCCTCTTGAAACATCAGGTGAATGATCAGTTAGATCAGAATGACTGACTTAGAAACAGTTTATAGATTTGTTGTTTTAACCAGAAGATCACACAGATTAGTGCCATTGTGTTAACATCTATTCAATCTGAAGAGACCAAAGACACAATTAATACATTAAAATTATTCATTTATTTGACGCATTGACCCCGGCAGTGACACTTGCTGCGATGAGATCGATTGCAGCTGACGATGATCTCAGATCCCTTGGGGTCAAGCACTGGTGGTGGCTAGAGTATGGTGTGAATGGGACGTAGGCGGAGCAGAAGCCAGAGCAGGAGCCTAGAGTGGGAGGCAGAGCAGGAGCCTAGAGTGGGAGGCAGAGCAGGAGCCAGAGCAGGAGCCTAGAGTGGGAGGCAGAGCAGGAGCCAGAGCGGGAGCCTAGAGAAGGCGCCAGAAGAGGCGCTGAGGTGGTGGGTGTTGCGAGCTTCAGGAGGTGTCAGGAAGTGGCTGCCTTTTAAACTGCCCACTTGCTTGTGAGAGGGTTGGCAAGAGGCTGGCAGAGCTGTGCAATTGGTTGGCTTGGAAGGGGGAATTTGCACTCGGTCTTTCAGTCTGAATCTGCGCCTTCAGCTTCATTAATCTGTCTAGAGTATTTTTTTGTGGTTCAAAAGTTAATGCTTAAAATCTCAAACTCTAATGAGACTCGCCGTTGATGGTGTAACATGTTTATTGTTGGTGATTTATCAAACACAGATTTGTACATTTTTTCGTCATGCAGCGTTGGCCTCGCACCCATGACTACTGCATCGGACTGATATGAAAATGAGGTTTGTTCATGAGAATCTCGCTGGAAAGACACCACAGAGGAGGACATGAGACCCCAGAGAGGAGAGAGAGTAGAGGCTGCTGAGGCGGCCATCTTGTGACTGTACAGGACCCCTCACAGAAACATGTGGCAAGACTTTCATAATGTTATAATGAACCTAATGGATCAAGGGTTTTACAGGGTCTCCAACTGCTTCTATGTGTTTGTAATTATTGCCTTTCCTGTGTTCGAACTGTTTGATTTTCTGATTTGTTGTTGTGGAATCAACAACTTTGAAAGTACTTTGAGATTTTTACAAAAATGAATTGAATTGAAATAGCCCACATGTTATTTAATCCCAAAATGGTGAGTGTGTCACAAACAGTTACTGATACTAAGAGTTTACTTTTATGAGTCAATATGAGCCAGAGAGAGTTGGATAAAAACTCTGTCTATGAGCGTTTCCCTATTGGGTTTTACATGGAGCTTGCAGGTTAGCATTGTCCATCTGTATCCAGTCTGTGTTACAGCTCGAGTTCCTTTGACCCAAGAACCAGAGGAAAGTTCTTGCTTCTAGAGCAGTATGAATAAGGGGTTGTAATTCTCTCTGCTAACAGTAGATGGAGCCAAAGTGCTGCTGCCTATTCCTGTCTTTCTCTGTTCAACACATGTTTTAAGGCCTGTAATAAGAAATTCTCCTCTCTTCTTTTCCTATATGATGACCCTGTAAAGATGGCCTCTAGATGCATCCCCAGTCCCCTCAGTCTCCTCAGCCCTCCCCAGTCTCCTCAGTCCTTCCCAGTCCCCTCAGTCTCCTCAGTCCTTCCCAGTCTCCTCAGTCTCCTCAGTCCTTCCCAGTCTCCTCAGTCCTTCCCAGTCTCCTCAGTCTCCTCAGTCCTTCCCAGTCTCCTCAGTCTCCTCAGCCCTCCCCAGTCTCCTCAGTCCTTCCCAGTCTCCTCAGTCTCCTCAGCCCTCCCCAGTCTCCTCAGTCCTTCCCAGTCTCCTCAGTCTCCTCAGCCCTCCCCAGTCTCCTCAGTCCTTCCCAGTCTCCTCAGTCTCCTCAGTCTCCTCAGCCCTCCCCAGTCTCCTCAGCCCTCCCCAGTCTCCTCAGTCCTTCCCAGTCTCCTCAGTCTCCTCAGTCTCCTCAGTCCTTCCCAGTCTCCTCAGTCTCCTCAGCCCTCCCCAGTCTCCTCAGTCCTTCCCAGTCTCCTCAGTCTCCTCAGTCCTTCCCAGTCTCCTCAGTCTCCTCAGTCCTTCCCAGTCCTCTCCGGAGCCTCATTGTCCATCTGTTTATTTCAATCACACACTGCGACCTTCACCTTTGTACCCGACGACATCACGTTTGACTTTTCACCTAAAACAGAAGGAGCTGAGATCACACGGACCGCGACAGAACTGCCTTTAGACGAAGAAAAACAGCAACGTTCATGTTTATGAGACGAGACGGAGGAGTTAGGACGAGGACGTGTGGCTCTGTCCATCTGTGTCACGGACCTGATGCTTTGATGGAATGAGCTGCGGAACTTTGTCGCATAATTTCAGATGTCCACATTTGATTTTAGTAGTAGAAAATAAGTTATTACTTTCATATAGTAAACCAATTAAATGTGAAACCAGAAGATCTTTTTATTTAATTTGAAAATTTCAATATATTTTTTTTTTAAACCGTTACACATTTTTTCAATTTGTATGAATGATTTTTCAAAAGATATTCCTTTTTAAATCAAGTGATTTACTTATGTTGAGTTAGCCGCAGAGTTCAACTGCCTCAATATGGGTCAAATATGTATTTACAAAGACAAATGTGTTTGTTTTGTTGCTGATTGTTTTATCATTTTTTTTGGTATGTTTTGGATTTTCATTTAAAATTTCTTTCTTCTAATAATATTACAAATTTCAAAAAGAAAATAGTCCAGGAGGCATCCCAAACAGACAAGAATGTATACTTCTTTAAAACGCTCAAGTCAGAGTTTTTGTACTCTTCTCCACATGGAGGAGCAGTGGCTCTTTTCCGAGCTCCTCCAGCCACTCAAATATAGTCAAATCAATAGAAACACAGCCTACATTTAGCTGTTTTGAATGGGTGTTCCTTTATGTATGTTATTTACATTATCTAATTCTCTCGGCCTAAATAAATATACACTACTATTTGGGATTCACATAAAAAGCCATCCCATAATTCTTCATCTGTCCGAACATGAACTGAATCTCAACCAGTGCCATCGATTTATTATTTAACTTAGACAGGGGAGAAGGAATCCTGTGTCCTTCTGCCACCCAGCAACAGGTAAAGCAGAAGAAAATGGCCGGATGGATAAAACGTTGCTCTATAGTAAGTTTTGACACCAGACCAGAGTAAAACTATGATAGTTTTAGCGCCACAGATACTAATCCAAACGACGTCATGTCACTTGCTTATGAACTGTGCTATACAAATAAGCTCTCCAATGCTTTTACAATCCTGTGTTAGAAACGACATTCCATCCGTGTGATCTCAGCTGACATATTGAACCTTTATAGAACCATTATCACAGAACTACATTACCCAGAATGCACTGTGACCAAAGAAACACAACATTTACATCAACAACAACATCACGTCCATAAGAATCGTCCACGTTTTTGCTCCGCGTCAAGAGAGTGCTACGTCCTCACAGGGCGCTCTCAGATACTGCATTTCCCAGCATGCACCTGCCCTCCTCCGCAGGTCACGCCCCCTCCTCCGTTCAAAGAGAGGAACAATGAATGAAAACATGTCCACTGCACAAACAGATGTCGGGAGGAGTTCAGGAGAGAAGGTTCTACAGTTAAGTCCTGGATCTACAGCCTCAGTCCTGGATCTACAGCCTCAGTCCTGGGCCTCAGTCCTGGGTCTACAGCCTCAGTCCTGGATCTACAGCCTCAGTCCTGGGCCTCAGTCCTGGGTCTACAACCTCAGTCCTGGATCTACAGCCTTCCATCTATAGTCACTCCCCTCAATATTTATGACCAGTAAAATTTGCTGGAGGAGAACAGTTGAACCAATGACGAGGCGCCTCAAGAATTTGAATTCATTTCGACCAATCAGGACTAACTTCAACATGCTAGTTTTGAATGCTTTAGTTTTGTTTGTAGTTTGAGGCATGTCGGTCTTTATCTCTATCTAGAGGAGGCTTCAAATGGACTTTTGTGTTTCTGTAAAAATCCTTGAGACTAAAGCTAACGTCCTGAACTCCTGTGTGTCTGTGAGCTCAGTGCTGCTGATGTAGATCTATAAAACAGCTCTAAGTTAAGCACCGTCGGGAAAAGGCCATTGCTGATTGGTTGGTGGGTTTGCGCAGAAGAACATTCAATATTTTCGCTTAAACAAAAAAGAAAAGAAAATGTACAACAACAACAAAAGGAAAAGAAACTCCGCCGAAACAACAACATCCAACAATAGAAAGTCTTTGGCAGATTTACAGAATAACATGGCAAAAAAACACACACAATTTACACGAAAGAAGTCGCAGAAATCAACCAAATTTAAGCTTATTTTGAAATCTTATTAAAATCCTGAGACAATAAAATTCAACATTCGTCATTTTCCAAAACTAAAGGATAAATACAAAAACAATAAATAAACAGGACTTTTCCACGACACATATTAAAGTATCTTTGACATGCATAAGTTTCATAGCTGCTTCATATATTTATAGATAGATTTTGCGCATTAAGTCTCTGTATAAGCCTTTACTATAAAGTTATTGCAGTTTCAAATATTGCTTTTTTTACTAAAATTCTGCCGACGTCTGGTTTCCACCGTTTGAACATATATCGAAGAGACTTTTGTCACTTTTTATGGCTTTTTCACATCAGCAATTTCTCAGGGATTTTTGCCTTTAAGTTGTTGTTAAGCGTAATAATAATATAAATTCAAATATTTGTTTAAAAAAATAGAAATTTCCCGCGATAGAGATTTTTATAAAGATACAAAACTTGCCCAAAGCTGTGGATCGGTTTGAGTTGAAGGGAGAAAATGTCATGAATAATTTGGGTAAAAAATATGAAAAGAGATTTGGATTCTTTCCTTAATCGTCGGAGTTTTTATAAAAGTGTTTTTGGTGATTGTCGTGGAGACGATGGGACCAGACGTGAGCAGGATTCTAGCTCAGTTCAATAAAAAAAATTTGATTCATTTCTGCGACTCCCAAAGATAATCTCAATCACTTCGTTTCCCTCAGACCCAATAAATGCTGATCAAGAGTTGGTCCTGGTCTAGTCCTGGTTCAGTCCTGGTTCATGCCATGTTCAGTCCATGTTCAGTCTCGCTCTAGTCCTGGTCTTGTCCTGGTTCAGTCCTCATTAAAAAACCTTGGGGCAATCCTGGTCTGATTCAAGGTCAATCCTGATCCAGTCCTAGTTTAGTCCTGCGTAAGACCAGGTTCAGTCCTGATTCAGACCTTGTCCTGGTCCAGGCATTGTACAGTTCTGGTTTAGACATGGTCCAGACCCGGTCTTGTCTTATCCTGTCTGAGTCTCTGGTTGGTCTGGGACTATGTAGGCAAATGTGGTCTCGTTATTAGCTTTAACATTAACAGCAAAAACGTGATTTTTATGAATGGGAAAAATATTTAAAGCCACAGGACGAAAACTTTTGGCCAAAAAATGTAATTGATCTAAGTGCCAAAAACACAAACAGCAATTAAAAAAAGATCAAAGTAAATCCTGTGACACTGACATCAAGTCCCACAGTTTGGCATTTAACAAATATATTTACATGGAGAATATTCCAAAATATGTCTTTCATGGAATCGTGCAGTTGATTGAGTTACATTCTGTTACAATATCTCCTTAAGTTTTGTCCGTGAATGGAATCAGGTTTTTGTGGGGCCTCTTTCCTCCCGCAATGACATGGTTTTCCAACAACATTATGAATTAGTCCGAGGTTCAGGTTTTAGTCTTGAGTCTAAGTTTAGTCCTGGTTCAGTCCTGCTTCAGTCCCTGCTCAGTCCCGGTTCAGTCCCCGTTCAGTCCTGGCTCAGTCCTGATTCAGTCCTGATGAAGTCCTGGTTTTAGTCCCAGTTCAGTCCTGTTTCACACTTTACTTAAACTGCATTAATGAGATGAATAGGAGTCTCTAGTTTGTTGCTCCTGGTGATGTCTTTAGGCTCCGCCCCTTTACTCTCAGCTCTGTGACGAGACGCAATGCTACGACGAGTCGAACAGGAGGACGAGTAATACCAAGATGGCCGCCGGAAGGAAGAGGCGGGGCTCCATCACAGACCCCGCCCCCGTGGTGTCGTCGGTGAGAAAGGGCTCCGCTGACTCGTAAATGGAGTCATCTGAAAAACAAAACAAAAAAAGAAACAAGATATTATCTTATCTGACATTATTAACGGCTTATTAAACGAGCGCAAGGTCTGTGCAGAGAAATATCAGGCCGCGGCCTTTTTGTACAGACCTACGGCTCGGTCTGTACAAAAAGACCAAGGTCTGATATTTCTCTTCCAACTAGCAAAAACACATGCAACCAAACTGTCAAATCGTGACATGGAGAATTTGCTTATCAGATGATTGAGGTCGCCGCTGGTAAGTTCTTGTGTGTCTTTACCAATGCTTTTTAGATATTTGTGAAGTATGTTCATGTCCGACTTGGTTATGTTTTTAGCTTTCTGATCTGTAACGGAGTTGTCAATCTCTTCTTGACAGTTAGGAGATGTGTTTTTGTCGTTATTTGCTGTTATTACTTCCTCTGGCTCTTCGGACTCGTCCGGATAAAAGAATCCACTGGGAGAATGCTCCCAGTCGTCGCTCATAATTTCTTTTTTACAGAGGAAAGATATCAAATCTGATACACGCTGCGGATCAATTGTCATGGTAACGGTCCGAAAATATCAGACCGTAAATCAGCCAATCAGAGCGCCCGTACGATCCAAGTCATATAATAACGGCTTATTAACCGAGCACGAGGTCTGTATGGAGAAATGATCAAGGTCTGATATTTCTCTGAACAGACCGAGCAAGCAAGGTTAATAAATGTTTCATTATATGACTCTCGTCTGTGTCTTCACCAATGCTTTTGAGATATTTGTGAAGCATGTTCATGTCCGACTTGGTTTTGTGTGATACGCGCAGTTCGGACCAATTGTCATGGTAACGGTCCGAGATGGGAAAATATCAGACCGTAAATCAGCCAATCAGAGCGCGCGTACGGTCCAAGTCATATAATAATAAAAGATATTATCTTATCTGACATTATTTTTGTCAGTGGCTCAGTTGGTAGAGCATTGGCTTTTGAGCCTGAAGGATCATGGGTTCGAGCCCACCAAAGAACCTTCTCCACTGACTCCCGCTGATCACTGCTGTTGTCGTGTCCTTGGGCAAGACATTTAACCCCACTTTGCCAGAAGCCCCCATTGAAAAATCAATCCTCCTGTGGACTCACCACCTGCAGGAGGATCAGTGAGGGGCTGGTGCTATGTGTACTGCGTGCAGCTCTGACTGACACCCCCCGACCCAGAAAATAATCAAAGGGAAGAAGATGGATGGATAGATGGATTTGCGTTAGTTCTCAAACTAGTTTAGAACTACCCTACCTGACTCGACTCGACTCTACTCATGTCTATTTTCTGGTCTAGTCCATAATCTAGTGTCTGCTCTGGTGTAGTTTTTGATTCAGTCTGTGCTCTGGTCTCTGGTCTCTGGTCCAGTCCCTGGTCCAGTCCCTGGTTTCCACTCACTTGTTGGTTTTACGTAGACCTTGAGTTTGAGGCAGGGTTTTCCCGCCTGGTTCAGATGTGGAGACGCTGAAACACAAAGAGAGAAAAGATCAGTTACAGTTGTGTTTCTTAGATTTAAAGATGCAATAAAGGATTTTTATTAGGGCGACAGTAGCTCAGTTGGTAGAGCATTGGCCTTCAGGCCTGAAGGTTGTGGGTTCATTTCCCACCTCAACACCTTCTCCACCGACTCCCACTGATGACTGCTGTTGTTGTGTCCTTGGGCAAGACACTTAACCCCACTTTGCCCAAAGCCCCCACTGAAAGATCAAGGCTATGCTCACACTCAGAGCAGCCGTCCTCCTGTGGACTCACCACCTGCAGAGGGTCAGTGAGGGGCTGGTGCTATGAGACTTGGGTGGCATCTCTGACTGTCACCCCCCTGACCCAGAAATGGATTAAAGGTTAGAAAATGGATGGATGGATGGATGGATAAAGGATTTTTGTTAGCTTAGCAGTTGCATCTGAGTCAAAACCACTCCCCCTCCCCCTGCCCCCCACCAAACCTACCTCCAAGCACACATGAACACAGTATCTGTAATAACGCAGTCTGTGCTTGATACGTGAAAGCATTCCACTAAATTAGGGTTAGGATTTAGGTTTAGGGTTAGCCTGCCATACTTGACAAGCGCTAGCTTCGCCTAACAAACTAGCAATTAGCAAAACTCAACTCCCTGTTTACATAGCCCTGGCTGCGTCTCGAGTCTTCTTATACAACCCCTTTTCTTCATCTGATGTTCTCTTCTTTGCCACAACAGGACGAGTGGCAAACGTGAAATTGGCACGTTTTCGGCTCCGCTTTTGTATTGAATGCATCCCATTGGTTTGAGGGGGGGTGAAAAATACTCCTGCGCCTCTGTGGAGTATTTTGGCCTTAATGACTTTAACAGTGAAACAATGACCAGAGTAAACAGCTAACACATGTCTCTGACCACAGACTCACACACACACACACACACACACACACACACACACACACACACACACACACACACACACACACACACACACACACACACACGCGCGCACGCATGCAAACAGAGATTATTTAAATTGCCAAAATCAAACCGGCTGTGAGTCTGTCCCAGGAGCCCATTAGCCGCACTCTCCATGTGGCGTTTGGCTAATAACGGCTTTTAGCGTCGGCCTCTAAACGGGGATAATGGGCCCTAATTTCTGCTGCACACTCAGGCTCTGGAGGCTCCAGAGGTCAGAGGTCAAAGTCTGCACTAAACACATGCAAGGCGGAGGAGAATAAATACTGCTTTGACATGAAAAAGATGTAAATATTTATATTAGCCCTGTTTCCATCAGCCCTAATTTACCCTACTCTACTCAGCTCAGTTCTACTCTACCTGGTTGTGTTTCCATTACGCTTTAGTATACTGTACCCTAGGAACCTCCCCATAACAAACCAGTATCTGTGAAAATTCCTTGGTAACCATGGCTTCCTGCAGCACTCTGCACAATCACAGTCAGTTAGAACACTTTAGCACCAGCTCGGCCTGGATAGAACCAGGACCAAGAGGGACTAAAGAAGGATCTGGTACTGGTTATAAAGGACCAGTGGAAACACTCCCAATCAGAATAGAGTAAGGTTAGGGTACTCATAGATGTAGGAGTAGAAAAAGTACTCACAGATGTAGTAGTACTCGTGGCCGGGCCTGAACTCGAAGCCCAGACTAAACGGTGTGAAGAGCTGGAACTTCTCGCTGAACTTGAGGGGCCCCCCAGGGCTCAGGGGCCGGTTACATTCCCAGCGCTTGAAGCCTCGGCGTCGATGGTCACAGGTTGTGTATCCGTCATAGTTTACCATGAAGAGCACATACTTCTCCAGAGTACTGCTGGTACTGCTGGTCTCATAGTGTGGGCAGTAGATGTCCAGGTAGTCGTTGATGGCCACCTCCACCGTGTACTCGCCCCGATGGAACCTGTGGGGGAGGAGGGGGAGAGAGGGAGGCAGAGAGAGGGGAAAGTTAGAACCATAGTATGACCCGACATTTATCTTCTTTTTAATTAAGAAGAAAACATTTGTGTTATTAGTTCACAGGACTCTCTCTGGTCTCAATTCGAATTTTTTAAATGTAATGTATTAATCTCAATGTATTTGCGTAGACTTTACAAAGCTGTCAATTTGCCAACACAGATCAGAGAATCAAACACAAGAAATGCAAAATACACATTGAGCCATTGGTCCTAAATATAAAATTAATGGATGCGAAATGTCAAAATTATCAGCAGAATGAGATAAACAGAAATATGGAATCAGTTTATCTCATGAGGAGATGGCTGCTGCACAGACACAGTACCCCTCACACACTGTAGGGGGCAGCACCACACAGAAAAACTCACTGTGAGGATCTCATCATTCTCATGTTATTAAAACTGGACTCCGGGACCAGGGTTTAAACATGGACCACTCCTGCAGCCTTCTCCAAAAGTCACAACACAAAGCAACAACATCTACACACATAACAACATCACACACAACAACAACTACATCACAAACAAACACACACTTCGGCAGCGTCTCCAACCTGCGGCTCAACAACACATGATTCTGAATGATTCACTTTTGAGTCTTTACATGTTACATAAATGTGTTCATAAATGCAGGAATACTCTGCATTTACTATGATTTTCTCAATCAATCAATCAATCAAATCTTTATTTGTAGAGCACATTTAAAACAGCCTAGGCTTACCAAAGTGCTGAACAGATAGCGAGGAAAAATAAGTGGATACAAATAAAAACACATAAAATACAGAAATATATATACATACAAAAAAACAAAAAACAAAAACTTGTCTCTGTCTACTTGGCATTAAAAGCCAAAGAGAAAAGGTGTGTCTTGAGCAGGGATTTAAAGTGCTCGAGTGATTGTGCAGTTCTGATGTGCAAAGGTAAAGAGTTCCACAACTTTGGCCCTATAACAGAAAAGGCTCTGTCTCCTCTGGTCCTAGGGACAGAGGGTGCTGATCTGCAGAGGGCAGTGCTCCAGAGGGAAGGTGGGACTGGAGGAGTTCACATAAATAAGAAGGTGCCATTCTATTAAAACTTTTAAAAACGATAATATTCTGGCATTTTCTGTAGTTATTAAGAACTACAATTTTATTACGAGATCTAAAGGAGTCACTCTGTGACATTTCCGTTTTATAAAGAAAAGATAAATGCGAACTGCTGAGCCTGTACATGTCTCATCTGTAAATAGTAAATAGTGAATTTCAGAATGTCCACTGAATGTCACTTTGAAAACTCATTATCCATTTGCCCGATATGTGTATAATTTATAATAATGCTCTTACTTCTGTCCTTCACTGCAACATTCATGTCTGCACTGTAGAGCAAAAGCTCTTTTGTCTAAATTAAAAGGTCTCCAATGAAAAAAAGGTTGGAGACCCCCGCTCCATAGTAGAATTTATTGATTTTTCATTTTTTAAACCGTTTTCTATTTAAATAATTTTATCGCCCTATCCACTCTTTGAACAAAGCTCTCTGGTCTTATTTGAATCTTATACACCTTTATTTTGTATGTATTAGATGTCGGGACTAGTAAATTGCACACAATGTGAAACACTGCAACATTTACCGTCACGGTAGATTTGCAAAGTCTGTCTCTAGAAGGAATTTTAACACAATTAAAAACACATTATAAATATTGTTCAACACACACACACACACACACACACACACACACACACACACACGTGTGTCTGACTGGTCCAGTATAAACAGGAGGTGATCAGTTCCAACATAAACACTGTTCCAGGGAAAATAGAAACTCAAATCTAAAGAATATGAACTTTCCGACAAAAAAGACTTTCTAAACTTGAGGCTTTGATCTTTGTCCTTTGGACAAAATCATGTTTTTATTCTGTTTGCAGATCACAACACAACACAATCACAGCCCTCTGAGTAACTTTATCTGGCCCTTCGTGTTACTCCGCTAAAGTAGACTTTGTCATTTTGTAATTTATAAAATTGTATAAAACTCCTCCTTTAGAGCGATACACAAAAACATATAATTACAAATTGACTTTTGAGCCATATTCTAATGTTAATGTTAAACAAAAAACCCACAAAGCTGCACTCCACAGAGGACAATTTATTATTATAGAATAATGAACCTAGAGCATTATGGGATGTAGTCTGTGTCCATGGAGATGTCCTCCTGAGAGCGCTAACTCTGTGATAAATGTTTTAGTCTTAAGTTACATTTCTGGCAATTATCAAATTCCAAACGGTGCAACAGTAACAAGTGTTTAAAGACAGCGCTAATGAGGCCTCAGGGCACCGCGACTGTCACAAACACACCCAGGAGAGAGACCAGGGGGAGAGAGACCAGTGGGAGAGACCGGGGGAGAGAGACCAGGGAGATAGACCAAGGGGAGAGAGACCCACCCGCCTGGGAGAACATCGGGAAACAAGCGCTCCTCTCGGGCCAGTGGGAGCAGCACAGATCCTGACACGGTTTATGAAAAGTGGACTGACTGAAGGAGATACATTTGTTTGGCAGTTTCTCAATAACGTCAGGAATGTTACATTTTAAAAACTTAAAAAATAAAATCCTCTCCCCCTGGTCCTGAAAAATATGTAAGCAGCTGATATGGAATACTAAAGCAAACACTAAACATTGACCAAAAAATGACCAAAAATGACTGATTAAAAAACTGACCAACAAATGATCAAAAACCGATAAAAAATAGACGAAAACAACAGATAAAAAACAAAAACTGAAAAAAATAAATAAATCAAAAACGGATCCAAAAGAAGGATAAAAAGGACCATCAACTTATTATTTAAAAAAATGCAAAATACTGATGAAAATTTGAGAAAAATCAGAATGGGAAAATGAATGAGACGTGTTCTTTAATCCTAGGCCTCTCTCAATCTCCTCTCGTCAGAGTCTCATCGTCTCGTTCGTTAATCAGCACAAACTCCTCGTTAACAGCTATGAATATTCATGACAGGACCTCTGGATGGCAGCCAATCAGAGGAGGCCATCCACGCCGCGGCCAATCAGGAGGGATTATTCCAGTGTGTGACCTGCGCGCGCTGCGACTGGTGCTGGTTTAATCACAGAAGAAGAAACCGTGCTGCAATTACTACAAACTCGCTGTTGTTTTGTTGCGTGTGACATCAGCGGGAGGTAATTAGCAACTTTTCAGCATGTGAGAACAAACAGGTGAGAGCGAAAAACCAAATTAGCAGCGATCATAGTGTTAGCTTAGTGAGTGATTTGTTTATACAGGCGTATACCAGGACTGCTGACAAACACCCACACCATGATTACAGCTGTCCATATATGGAGCTGTTTTGCTTCTTTAAAGTTTATTAAAGCTGAGGTTTCTAAGGGTGTTCAGACCTGCACTTTTGGTCCACTTTAAACAGACCAGGATTTGTTTGGAACTCTGATCCGGACCTGTTATGCAGGTGTGAATACAAACAAACGAATCCTGGTCCGGACCAAAGAACTAAACTGAGACCCACTTTTTCAGTTGGTCTCGGGCCGCTTCCAAACGAACTCTGATTCAGGTCTGAATACAACCGGTGTCGATCCGACACAAATCCGGGATACGTGCGCATTTTTGGGCCTTAACAAGCCACCGCAGACAGAAACTGTGAGGAATTAGCCTTGCGTCACAGCTGCTAACGCTACACAACAACAATGAGCCGTGGGCAGACCTGGAGCAACCGGGAGACACTGTGCCTCCTTGAAATTTGGGCAGAGGTATATATAACCCAACTTCTGGAAAAGACACTCAAAAATGCGGTCGTTTTGCTCTAAAAAGAGCAAACATAGGCAGGGCAGACATGCACGTACAAGCTCAATATTTTCCTCCATTTCCGCGTCTATTCTCCGTGAGCTCTCGCTGTCCAATAGGAGCACCGATTGTCACACGCCTCGATATGTTTATTAAAAGAAGTTCACTTGCAAAAAGTACAGTCTGAATACGAACCGGACCACAAGAAAAATGTTTGGTCCGCTTTTGGTTCGGACCAAGCAAGCGGACCAAAGGACTTTTTTGATCTGTATACACCCTAACTTTCAATCCTCTCAAAACATAAATATGTAAAAAACAACATTTAACACCTGGCTCTCAAAACTGTTTGGGCTTTTTGTAAAATCAGGACTAAATTCCGGATAAATACAGTTCTGCTGAAAGATTGTATCTTTATTTGGTTTTCTTATGTTTTGTGATTTCTTTTCTTGTTTTGTTTTGTTTGTTGTTTTGAACTGTGCAATACTAATAAACTTTAATACACCAGTTTTAGACCTGAAAGAAACAGCCTTTTAAGCTTTGAAAGAGCTGTCGTGGAATAATGAAACAACTTTGTCAATCGTTGAGCGCAAAACTGACCAAAAAATGACCAAAAATGACTAAAAATGGATGAAAAAAAAATCCAAACACTGACAAAAATGTGACTAGAAAACGATAAGAAACAGATAATAAAAATAGGCCCAAATAACGATAAAAAGGACCAAAAATAACAATAGACTTTTTTTTTTTTAAACAAATACAAATTTGACAGAAAACTGATTAAAAACTGACCAAAACATGACTATAAACTGAAATGCCAAATATTGACCAAAATGTGACCAAAAACGGACTAAAAAAGGACCTCTTGTTGGTTTCCTGTGATGTTTGTGCTGACGGCTTTCTTCTTCTCCTCTCCATGAACCCGCCGTGGCCTCCTGTCTTTTAACACGTTTAGCTGAGTGCTTTCTAACGCAGTTACAGCCGGCTTCAGGGGGGGTCCTCATCGGGATAATGGAGCCTCCCCCCGCGCCCCCGTTCGCCTTCGGAGAACGCCTCGTCACCACCAGACTCTCTATCATCATAACTCAGCGTTAGCGCCGCATTAGCCCCAGATGCTAAATCAGGGTTAGCAACCGTTCTGGACATTTAGGAACATAATGAGATCAGAGGAAACATAAGCAGGAGGAGATTCAGCAAGACCCAGAGAAGAGAGAGACCCAAACATCACTGCTATTGAAGAGAGGAATGGGCCAAAATACCAACCACAGTGAGTGAAAATCTTGAGAAGACTTGCAGAAAGCCTTAGGACTCTGTCATTGCCAACAGAGGGTTATTACAAAGTATTGAGTTTGACTTTTGTTATTGACTAAATTACTTATTTTCCACCATCATTTTCAAATAAATGCATATTTCTGTAGTGTCCATTATAGCTCTAGATAGTTGAATAAGGGATTTTATTATGGCTATACCTTAGATTTATTCTGCCGTTTTTGTAAACTATGGTCATAATACGAATCAGAAGAGAGAAATATTATAATTCTGTGTTGTAATTGTGTAATACAAAGTTGTTGATTCACCAACAACAGATCAGAGAATCACACAGAAATACGTTTACGTTACGATCTACAGTACACTATGTATGTATGTATCTACAGTATCTATCTATCTAGCTATGTATCTATCTAGTCCAGAGAGTACTTATACTATAGTAGTATATGTACCTGCAGAGCTGTAATGGGAGCAGACTTTCCCACCGGTCTTTCTGAAAGACGATCCTGGTTCTACAGCGTCGGGAACAAAAGAACTCCTGTCCGAACACAGAGAGACAAGCACGACACCGCCACAACAATACTATCTGATAAAACCGATCCTCAACTACGCAACTGGACCAGGACCAGACCAGGATCTCAACAAAGGCCGGGCCGGGACCAGACAAAGACCCCAAAACCCCACCTTCCCCTGGGCTGCTCCTGAGACTTGAGACCTGCCAGGGCCCAGAGAGGAACCAAAACTGGATAATAACAGAATCAGCATTAGCAAAGGATTTAGTGTGGATTTAAGTGTTACACAGGTGTGACACAGGCCTCTTCCTGTCCCTCAGGCGCACAGCGGAACAAGTGACTGTCCACAATCTATTTCATGTATTTAACAATGTAATATTACATAAAGAAGGACAATGTCAAAGATCCATTAGACTTGTTTGAACAAATATAGGCAGCAGCTCTCAGGGACAACCTCGGAAATCTCAGTCCAGAAAAGTGCAGTATATAGAACAGCAAAGATTCTGTGCAGAACCCTCAAGCTCCCGGGTCTCTGCAGAGGGCAAATGGTGTTTGTCCCAACAGAAAAAAGTCTTGCTGTCTTAATCTGATAATCACTTGCATATTGTCCCTGTGAGTCACAATTTGACACTTTGGGTTGAGCTCTGATTGGCGGTGGGTCTGTATTTCTGTGAATAACAGTGAATTGAGGGATTTAAGATCTATAGATGGTCCAGTCCTGCCTGAGTCCTGGTTCAGCCCTGGTCTAGATGAAGTCTTCTCTGGTCTGACGTGTTTACGTTTGTCCTCAGTTGTAAATCTTGGTTCTGCGGTGTAAAGTTCAGAGGTCACATGCGCCTGGAGCTCGTCTCTTCACTTATTTATTGCTTCTAAAAATAACAAGAGGATAATGAGGAGTTGTTAGTCGAAAGCTGGGGTACCCAAATTTCAAGCCACAAAAACACTATGTTCCTATGTGTTTATTATTATTGCATTTCTTGTTGTTGGCGAAATGACAACTTTGTAACTTTAGACAAGCACAAATGTTTTTTCATAACAAGCACGCCAACCCAAAAAGTCCTGGATCTACAGCCTCAGTCCTTGGTCTAAGTTGTTGGTCTCACTTTTCTCCAACTGGGTTTTTAGAGTTGTTCCTTGTCGATGCAGGAGGGTCTAAGGACAGTGATGATCTAGGACACTCCACATGGACGAGGGGGGTGTAGTGGAGGAGGTGGGGGTGCAGTGGATTGGGTGGTGGGGGGTGGTATAGTGGGGTTTGTCCTGGAGCGAGGGTGTTTCTGTGGTGGTTCTGTGGCTGACGGTGTGATCTGAAGTCTCTGGTTTCCTCTCGACACATTCCACAGTCGTGTAATATCATCAGGCTCATGTCACAGATGGACTGTCGGAGTGGCACACGCAGGAGAATTAGACCCAGACCGTAGTCCCGGACCAGACCCATACCCAGACCCAGACCAGAGACACAGTCCAAATCGAGACCCAGACTCTGAACTACAAAGAATGTGGCCTACAAATATTGCATATACGTGAATCTGAATTATGGGGTTTTGTTTGTAGTTATAGTCTTATCTTTACCAGGTCAGAAAGAGCAGAGAGACCCAAGAGAGAGAGACCAGAGAGATACCACAGGGAGAGACCAGAGAGAGACAACAGAGAGACAACAGGGTGAAACCACAGAGAAAAAGCTGATCCAAAGAAAGACTAAAGAATACTTGCAGGTGAAAACAAGTGACAGAAGAAAACAGTTTTAGAGCGAGGAACGAGTTAGATATATTTTATTACATAAAAGCTGCACCAAATGTTTCTACAGCTTAAAACGCTGAGAATTTTTGGAGGGATTCTCATTTTTAACGACCAAAACACTACTTTTCCCTCTCTCCTTGTCCTGTTCCTCCTCTCTCTTGCTCTCTCTCTCCCTCTCTCTTTCAGAATGATTGATGTTCCACGATGCATCAGTGCGCCACATGGTCCTGAAACCAGACCCAGACTCGGTCTCAGGTTTCCACGGAGACGAGGCCTGGGCTCAACAACTGGTCTAGACCCGGACTTTCCCCGGACTGAGGCTGAGGCCCTGAGGCTGAGGCAGATACAGGGCTCTGCAGGAGGACGTGTGAAAGATCATGGGATTTGTGAATGAAAAATAAACGTATTTTCTGAACACACGAGATATTAAAGGGGACGTTTCATGGAGCAGATTCAGAACAGATGTTGTAAGATACACTCTGAGATGTTTCACTTTGTTCGACAATTTTCAAATTTTCTTAGAGGGGCGGTGTATAATATTCAGATGTTTAATCAACCCCATATTATTATTGTGTCCCCAAAAAACCGGTCCATGTGGAGACCTGTCATAGATCTGTTCTCGAGTAATTCTTATTTAGAAACACAAAGAACATAATGTCCATAATATTTATTTGTACATTGGTCAAACACACACCCACACACACACATACGCACAGACACAAACACAGATGCATACACACATATACAGTGCCATGTTTGACAGTGGGGATGGTGTGTTCAGGGTGATGAGCTGTGTTGCTTTTACGCCAAACATATCGTTTTACATTGTGGCCAAAAAGTTTGATTTTGGTTTCATCTGACCAGAGCACCTTCTTCCACATGTTTGGTGTGTCTCCCAGGTGGCTTGTGGCAAACTTTAAATGAGACTTTTTATGGATATCTTTGAGAAATGGCTTTCTTCTTGCCACTCTTCCATAAAGGTCAGATTTGTGCAGTGCACGACTGATTGTTGTCCTATGGACAGACTCTCCCACCTCAGCTGTAGTTATCTGCAGTTCATCCAGAGTGATCATGGGCCTCTTGGCTGCATCTCTGATCAGCCTTCTCCTTGTTTGAGATGAAAGTTTGGAGGGACGGTCGGGTCTTGGTAGATTTGCAGTGGTCTGATACTCCTTCCATTTCAATATAATTGCTTGCACAGTGCTCCTTGAGATGTTTAAAGCTTGGGAAATCTTTTTGTATCCAAATCCGGCTTTAAACTTCTCCACAACAGTATCTCGGACCTGCCTGGTGTGTTCCTTTGTCTTCATGGTTCTCTCTGCGCTTTAAACAGAACCCTGAGACTATCAAAGAGCAGGTGCATTTATACGGAGACTTGATTACACACAGGTGCATTCTATTTATCATCATCAGTCATTTAGGACAACATTGGATCATTCAAAGATCCTCACTGAACTTCTGGACTGAGTTTGCTGCACTGAAAGTAAAGGGGCCGAATAATATTCCACGCCCCACTTTTCAGTTTTTTATTTGTTAAAAAAGTTTAAATTATCCAATAAATTTCATTCCACTTCACGATTGTGTCCCACTTGTTGTTGATTCATGACAAAAAAATAAAATGTTATATCTTTATGTTTGAAGCCTGAAATGTGGCGAAATGTTGAAAGGTTCAAGGGTTCACTGTACACACTCAAACACGTATCATAAACACCAGGATCACAGAGAGCTCCAAACCACAGATTTAAGCCCAAAATGGTGAGTGTGGCACAAACGGTTACTGAGCTAGAAGAGTTTACTTTTACATGTAAGTCAGAGAGAGGAGCAAAACTTCATCCATGAGCACTTCCCTATTGGGCTTCATTGAGCTAGCGTGTTAGCATCGTCCATCCGTGTACAGTCTCTGGTCTCAGCTCCCTACAGGTCTGAGTGTGGACTTATGGGACAGAGTCTTGTTTTCTCAAACAGATGATCGTCTCGTCTCCTACGGCTTTGATTTTTTGAACTTTTGAAACTGAAACTTGTCAAATAAAGAGAAGAGAGTGGATTTTCAGCTCTGTCCAAACACCAGAGACCAGAGAGAGACCTGAGAGACCAGAGAGAGACTAGAGAGAGAGACTAGAGAGGGACCAGAGAGAGACTAGAGGGAGAGACCAGAGAGAGACCGGAGAGACCAGAGAGAGAGACCAGAGAGAGACCAGAGAGAGAAACCAGAGAGAGACCAGAGAGAGACTAAAGAGAGACTAGAGCGAGAGACCAGAGAGAGAGACAAGAGAGAGAGACCAGAGAGAGACTAGAGAGAGATCAGAGAGACCAGAGAGAGAGACAAGAGAGAGAGACCAGAGAGAGACTAGAGAGAGATCAGAGAGACCAGAGAGAGAGACCAGAGAGAGAGACCAGAGAGAGAGACCAGAGAGAGAGACCAGAGAGAGGGACTAGAGAGAGAGACCAGAGAGAGACTAGAGAGAGAGACCAGAGAGACTAGAGAGAGAGACCAGAGAGACTAAAGAGAGAGACCAGAGAGACTAAAGAGAGAGACCAGAGAGACCAGAGAGAGACCAGAG